AATTAGAAGATATTTCAGTAACAGCAACGACAACAACAAAAAGACCTCCACTACCAAAACTGGAACAATTTCTATGGTTCAATTAAATGAACTTTTCTTGATGATGATGATGATGACGATGTGTGGCGTTTCCTATGACCAAACTGGCCTAATTGAGAATGCGTGCGTGCGTGTGTACCATCGTTTGTACGTAGTGACGACTCTGTGGTGTTGCCCAGAGGCAGTGGCCAAATCAATTCATCCATCATTGCAAGCATTGCATCCAGTCATCCGTCCATCCAGCCAGCAATCCATTCGAACATTTGTACACCAACGACCGACCAACTAACCAAGTAGTCAGCCAAGCGCAGAGCAATCTATCGTTGGCCTCCATTAGAATGCGTTTGTCGTAATTTAAAGTTTTGAGTTTTTTATTTTGGTTTTCGCTTTTTTTAAATACTCAAAAAAAGAGATGGAAATAATTTTGTGTCTGTTTGTTTGTTGTTTTTTTAAATGCACAACAAAATCCAAAAATAAAACAATAACAACAAATAGACGAATACGAAAACATAACGCGAACACAAGTTGTTTATGCAACAATAATTTGTGTGTGTGTGTGGATTGCCAGCCGCTTTGGACCACTGACTCTACCGGCAACATGCTTCGAACATGGTCTTGTGAGCAGCGGATCTCTAAACAGTTTTAAGTTTCAGAAATAGTTTCTGTGTGTTTTGCTGAAAAAAAAATAAAAATATTTAAAAAATATGTATACTCGGATCACATTTTGCTGGCAGCCGGACAAAGTGGCAGCAATGCCGCACTAGGTTGTTGTTGCTGTTGTCGTTGTTATAATTACTTAGTAATGCAACGGTGATACAGCGAAACCATCTACTCAGTGTTAAGTTTTCAGTATTCACTGTTTTATGCCCTCAGCCATATGGCTAGAGAGGATAAATTTAATTTGGGCAAAACGCGCCTCATCGAAATAACGGTTTTAGACCGTAAGTCTCTTTGGACCAAATTCGTTTCAGGACGTTTGGAGTCGATATAGAGGTGACCGTCCGTCTGTCTGGCTGGTGCGCACCATAACTCTCGAAGGGAATTTCCGATTTGGCCCAAACTTGGTAATATTATCGTCAAACTTAGACCGAGTTCGGTGATGGGAAATATAGGTACACTCATTCTGGTACATCGCTCACAAAAGCCCGAATTTTTCAAAAAATATTTTCCTACACAGAAAGAGACAGGATAATCTGATTTTTCTCCAACTTTGTAAATTCCAATATTTGCATCAGTGCAAGGCCAGGTGCGAAAATGGACAATATCTGTCCGCTTAATCAAGTACCTCCCTCACAGAAGGTCTTAATTTTTATTAATTATGAGCTATAAAGTGAAATGTAAGAGTTCGATGGTCTTCAAATCATATTAATTTTATTAAACCAAGGTCTGGTATGAAGATGGAATATATCGGTCCACTCTTTCTGGTACCTCTCCCGGAAAGGGTCAAAATTTTGAACATCATAAAACACGAAATTTCCATCCGATTCCCTTTAAACTTGGCACAATTCAATACTTCTATCAACACGAGAGTAGTTTTAAAGTCCATAGAGCTGGAACCATTCCTTCTGGTACATCATCACAGAGGGTCAAAATTTTGAATATCCATGACGGAACCATGAATAGCCTTATAAAAAGCGAAATTACAATCCGATTCAATTCTGACTTGGCACAACAAAATATTTCTATCAACACAAGATCTATTATAAAGATGGTAGAGATCGACCCATTCCTTCTGGTACTTCCACCCATTCCTTCTGGTACTTCCACAAAGGGTCAATGTTTTGAATATCCGCGAAGCTCATAAAATGCGAAATCAACATTCGATTCCATTAGGACTTGGCACATCTCAACATGTCCATGGGCAAATGAACTATTATAAAGATGGTAGAGATCGGACCATTCCTTCTGGTACCTCAGCCACATAGAGCAAATGATTTGAATAACCAAAACTATCATAAAATCCGAAATAAGCACTCTGTTCTCTTTATATTTCACACATCACATTATAACTACCAATACAAGATTTGCTGTGCAGATGGAAAATATCGGCCCACTCCTTTTGGTACCTCTCCCACAAAGGGTAAACATTTTGTATCATGAAACCCGAAATTAATATCCGATTCCATTTAAATTTGGTACATCTCAATACAGTCAAACGCCATAATCTATTTTTTTTAATTCTATTGAATGAAAACAAAAAATGTCGGAAATATCATCAAATTTTAGAATAAGTTTAGATTTGTTCGAACTGGCACGAATTATGGCCTTCAAATGGCCGTCACACGCTGCCCGAATGTTGGTCTGCGGGGAAATCGAGGAACCTGATTTTGTAACCATTCTTGAGTGGCGCATGTTGAGTGTGATGGTGCTGAGTCTTGTTTAAATGTCCAAGGTCTGCGGCCAAAATGTTTGCGTGCCCAAGACATACCCTCTAGAATATTTTCGCGATACTATTCGGAATTTCTTCTGATGCCACCGGTCGATTAATACGAGCTGTTATGGTGGCCCACACCATCACCATGGCCGGCGCTTGAGTTCTGGTGGCCAACCGAAGGTGCACATTTTCAGCTGACCTCCTTGGCAAGTAAACACGATCATTTTGTTTGTTTACAAACTGCTGTATAACGAATGTTCTCTCATCGGAGAAAACCAAATTCGACAGTTCTCCACTTTCGGCCAAGCGAAGCAACTCTTTAGCTCTTTTGAGTCTATTTTCTTTCTGTTGCGGTGTAAGTACTTGCACTTTTTTGAATTTCAGTGGCTTTACCCGAGTTCATTTTTCAATATTTGTGGAATGGAATATAGTGATTTGTTCAGCTCAAGAGCCATTTTTCGGCCACTGCGACGCGGGTTTGAATCAAGTCGCTTCTTTACTTTTCGAACCATTTCTGCTTAAGTTGATGTTTTCTTCCGTCCACTTCCTTGATATATGTCGGGCTACGCCACCAGTATCACGGTAACGGGCAATTGTACGAGACACAAAACATTTATCTACATTTAAATGAACGATACACACTTGTGGTTTTCCAGCCAAATAAAGGGTGTTTTTTTTAAGCTGGATAGAACTTCAAATTGTAAAAAGTAACACAAAAAATTAAATTTTACCCTGACAATTCATCATAAATAGACTTACGCTTGAACAACGCTACGAAATTATCCAAATTTACTTTGAAAATCAGGCTCTAGAACAGTTGGCAAATGACCCGTTGTTTTATCGCAAAATTGTGTTCAGCGATGAGGCGCATTTTTGGTTCAACGGGTTTGTTAATAAGCAAAATTGTCGCATATGGAGTGAGACCAATCCACAAGAGACGCTACAGACTCCATTACATCCAGAAAAATGCACCGTATGGTGCGGTGGTGGCATCATAAGCCCTTATTTCTTCAAAAATTAGGCCAGAGCTCGCATTAGGGTCAATGGAGATCGTTACCGCACCATGATCAATGATTTTTTGTTTAAAACTATGGATGACATTGATCCGGAGGAGATGTGGTTTCAACAGGATGGCGCTACGTGCCATACGGCGAACGCAACCATCGACTTATTGAAATCAAAATTTAGCGATAAGTTGATTTCGAGAAGTTGACCTGTCAATTGGCCTCCAAGGTCGTGGGATTTGACACCTTTCGATTATTTCCTGTGGGGATACCTGAAGTCACTGGTTTATGCTGATAAACCAGCAACAATTGACGCCTTATAGGCCAGCATTGTTCGTGACATACCAGCCAGCAGTGCTCGAAAAATTGGCCAAATATTGGACGTCCAGAATGCACTTCGTCAAGAACAGCCGCGGTGCCATATGCCCGATTTCAAGTTCTATCATGTCCAAATTCAAGTTCTATCAGACACCCTTTATAAAGAAATCACGCTTCAATGCCATCACGGATAACTTATTTCTGGAAAATTCTGACCAAAATGCTTTTGTACACTTGTAGACCATATAATAAGCTGCCACTGGAATAATTTTAACAGCTGTGGGACGAGTGGCTTAGAAATGACAGCAGTCTGAAGTTGGTAGCAGTTTTTTCATCCCCAAACCTAACACGTTGCAATATTTGATTCATATTTATTTAGGTCCGATACAAAATGAAAATATTGGCCTATTCCTTCGCAACATACTCCATGGCCAAGTCAAAATATATTGAAATAATCAAACATTAGCTGAGGGTATACATCTGTCGGGTAAACCAACTGACAATTTTTAACTGGTTTTTTTTCGGGAAGTTTCTCAACTTTCCGGATGATTAAATAGCTAAAAAACTCTAATTAACAACGCCAATGACATTCGAGGATATGTGCAAAACTTTCATCCTTTGGCATGTACCTCAAGATTCTGATATGAGTTTGAGTATGAAATGAGTTCTCAAAAATGCGGATGACCTAATTTTTTTCTTAGTACGTGTAGGAGTCATAATAACAACGTTCATTTTCCAGTGTAGATGTGTGTGTATGTAGCATATTATTTACATCCTTAGAAATGGATTACTTATTTGTGTATAAGATAGACAAGTTCGGTAGATTCTAAATTCAAGTGGATAAGAGTGAACATAAAGGTATATTCTCTTATGGGCCTTATAGGGCAATGTGCACTAAAAATATATTCTTTATAAATTCCTAAAAATCCCCTTAAAATTTCAACGAGTTTGTGGCACAAACAAATGAATTTCACAAGCTACTCTGAAAAACTTGAGAAAAAAATAATAATCTGCTATCATACCCCGCAAAGATATTCATTAAGAAGTAAATAGAAATATGTTTGCGACATATAAGTACTGCTTTTTTTGGCTTTTCGTTAGGAAAATATAAATAGCAATTTCGTGCTCTCATGTCCTTGTTAAAATAATGGGTCGGTAACTACATTTGTAATGAGTATTTTTTCAGGGTAGTTTTTTTGGTCAAACCAAAACAAAATCCAATTGAATTATTAAGACAAATATCCAGATAAACAGATTTGACTTACGATTATTTTACTAATGGAAACGTAACCAAGTTTAATATCTGAAATTGGAAAAGTAACAACAATTATTAGTTATAAATAAAATATGGACCTGCTTTTCTTCATAAATAACCCCAATACACCTTCGCGTGGAAGACTTATGGGAACACCAAAACACAGAAAGTAGAAAGTTCTTCTCATATAACAACAGAAAATCTTCTCATAGAAAAACGGGAAATTTCTTACAGAAGAGTGGAAATGTCCTGTCACAGAAGTCTAGAAACTGTTCTCAAAAAAAAAAAAAAAAAACAGGCGGATTTATCATAGATGACACCAAGGTATTCTTAAAGAACATGATGCGCTCTTCTTATAGAACGAGTTAGAAGGTTTTCTCATAGAGGGCCAGAAGGATGTATAATTGAGGACCAGAAGTTCTGCTCATAGAAGGCACGAACGGTCCACGAAGGTCCGAAGTTCCTCACATAAAAAATCAGAAAATGGACTTATGGAAGGATTTTTCGCAGAATATAAGAAGGTTTTTCCAGAGAAGGTCAGAAATTATTCTCAAAGAAGATCTGAAGGTCTACTCATAGAATGCCGGAAGGTCTTCATAATAAAATGAGAAGATTCTCTTAGATAGTCTTCTCAGCGAAGGCCAGCATGTCTTCTCAAAGAAAACCAAAAAAAGTCTAAAAGCTCTTTTCAAAAATGGCCAGGTCTTCGCATAGAAGATCATCTGTAGAAGGCCAGAATGTCTTCTAAGAGGATGCCGTAAGGCTTTTTCAGAGGGGCTCAGGGAGTCTTTCGCATGAAGATCAAGAGACATTCTCAAGGTGGCCAAAATGACTTCACAGGGGATGCCTTTTCTTAAAAGGACTGGGAGTCCTACATCAGAAGCCCAAAAGGTCCTCTTATAGAAGATAAAAGTTCTGTTCATAGAAGGTCTCAGAGGAAGCCATAAGCTCTTCTCATACAAAGTCAGACGGCCTTTCCAAAGTAGGCCTTTTCAATGAAAGCCAGAAGGTCTTCTCAAAGAAGACCAGAAGGTCTTTTTAGAGAAGTTCTGTAGTTCTTCTCAGTGAAAACCAGAAGGTATTTTCAATGAAAGCCCGAATGTTTTCTCAAAAAGATCAAAGGGGCTTCTCAAAAAAGTCCAAAAGGCCTTCTCAAAAAGACCAGATCGTCGCATAGAAGATCATCTATTAGACGGCCAGAGTCTTCTCAGAGGAGACCAAAGGGTCTTCTCAGGGAAGGGCAAAAGGTCTTCTCAGAGAAGGGCAGAAGGTCTTCTCAGAGAAGGACAGAAGTCTTCTCAGAGAAGGGCAGAAGTCTTCTCAGAGGAGACCAGAAAGTCTTCTCAGAGGTCTCCTCTCATATGAGGCCAGAAGGTCTTCCCTCAGATAAGGCTAGAAGGTCTCCTCTCAGAGGAGGCCAGAAGGTATATTCTCAGAGAAGGTCAGAAGGTCTCCTCTCACGTAAGGCCAGAAGGTCTCCTCTCAGTTGAGGCCAGAAGGTCTTCACAGAGAAGGCCATAAGGTCTTCGCAGAGTAGGCTATAATGTCACAGAGAAGGCCATAATGTCTTCACAGCTAATGCCAAAAGGTCTTCACAGAGAAGGGCATAAGGTCTTCTCAGAGAAGCCCAGAAGGTCTTCTCGGAGATTATGAAAATCTATCTATAAATAATACTAAATTTGGTATTGGGTGAAGGAATAAAGCCGGAATCATGAAATTCGTTATATAAGTCTCTGTAGGTGTCTGTGGTTAAGATATAGAGGTAATTTGACAAACGCTCTTATATTTGTACACAAAATACTATATGATACTAAATTTGGTATTGGGTGAAGGAATAAGGCTGAATCCGGAAATTTGTTTTTAAGGTCTCTGTTGGTATTTGTGGTTAAGATATGGAAGTGGTTTTGGAAATTCGTCCTATATTTGTAAGAAAACTTTTTAATAATACTAAAATTGGTATTGGGTGAAGGAATAGGTTTGGAATCCCGTAATTTGTTATTTACGTCTCTGATGTTGTCAGAAGTTATTATATAGAGGTAATTTTGGAAAAACGTCCTATATACGTACGAAAACTACTTAATAATACTAAAATTGGTATTGGGTGAAGGAAATAGTCTGGAATCATGAAATTTGTTATATAGGTCTCTGTTGGTGGGTTTGGAAATGCGCGCTATATTTGTAAGAAAACTACCTTATAATACTAAAATTGGTATTGGTTGAAGGAATAAGGCCAAAATCCCGAAATTTGTTAATAAGGTCTCTATTGGTGTCTGCGATTAAGATGTGGGGGTAGTTTTGGAAATAGGTCCCATATTTGTACAAAAAATACTATATGATACTAAATTTAGTATTGGGTGAAGGAATTAGGCTGGAATCCAAAAATTTGTTTTTTACGTCTTTGTTGGTGTCTGTGGTTAAGATATGTCAATGGTTTTGGAAATGTGCCCTATATTTGTTAGAAAAGTACATAATAGTACTAAAATTGGTATTGGGTGATGGAATAAGGCTAGAATCCCGAAATTTGTTATTTTGCTCTCTGCTGGTGTCTGTGGTTAAGATATGGAGGTGGTTTTGGAAATGCGTCCTATATTTGTGTAAGTTTTCGGGGCTTGAGTTTTCTCCTCTGAGTATGTCCCTCACCGGCTTACGCGAATCAAAGTTTTCTAAAATTGACACTTTTTGTAAATAGCCGGCCTTCGGCCGGGGCTTGAATTTTCTCCTCTGAGTATGTCCCTCACCGGCTTACGCGAATCAAAGTTTTCTAAAATTGACACTTTTTGTAAATAGCCGGCCTTCGGCCGGGACTTGATATTTTCTACTCTTGGTATGTCCCACCCCGGCTAACGCGAACCAAAGTTTTCTAAATTGGATACCTTTTGTAACCAACGACGGCTACGCGAAATAAAGATTTTCTAATCAGAGTACGTCCCTCACCGGCTTACGCGAATCAAAGTTTTCTAAATTTGACACTTTTTGTAAATAGCCGGCCTTCGGCCGGGGCTTAAAATTTTTTTTCGTACCAAGGTTTTCTAAATTGGATACCTGTTGCAAGTGGGCGACCTTCGGCCGGGGCTTGGTTTTTCTCCTCTGAGTATGTCCCTCACCGGCTAACGCGAATCAAAGTTTTCTAAATTTGACACTTCTTGTAAATAGCCGGGCCTTAAAATTTTCTCCTCTGAGTATGTCCCACACCGGCTAACACGAACCAAAGTTTTCTAAATTGGATACCTTTTGTAAGTGGACGGCCTTCGGCCGGGGCTTGAGTTTTCTCCTCTGAGTATGTCCCTCACCGGCTAACGCGAATAAAAGTTTTCTAAACTTGATACCTTTTGTAAGTAGGAGGACTTCGGCCGGGGCTTTAGATTTTCTAATCTGAGTATATCCTTTATCGGCTTACGCGAATCAAAGTTTTCTAAATTTGACACTTCTCGTAAATAGCCGGCCTTCGGGCGGGACTTAAGATTTTCTCCTCTAAATATGTCCCACACCGGCTAACGCGAACCAAAGTTTTCTAAATTGGATACCTTTTGTAAGTGGCCGGCCTTCGGCCGGGACTTGAGTTTGAGTTTATTTCGCATAGCTGTCATTGGAATTACAAAAGTTTTCTAAATTTGACACTTCTTGTAAATAGCCGGCCTTCGGCCGGAGCTTAAATTTTTTCCTCTGGGTATGTCCCACACCGGCTAACGCGAACCAAAGTTTTCTAAATTGGATACCTTTTGTAAGTGGCCGGCCTTCGGCTGGGGCTCGGTTTTTCTCCTCTGAGTATGTCCCTCACCGGCTTACGCGAATCAAAGTTTTCTAAATTTGACACTTCTTGTAAATAGCCCGCCTTCTGCCGGGGCTTAAAATTTTCTCCTCTAAGTATGTCCCACACCGGCTAACGCGAACCAAGGTTTTCTAAATTGGATACCTTTTGTAAGTGGCCGGCCTTCGGCCGGGGCTTGAGTGTTCTCCTCTGAGTATGTCCCTCACCGGCTAACGCGAATCAAAGTTTTCTAAATTTGATACCTTTTGTAAGTAGGAGGCCTTCGGCCGGGACTTGATATGGGTCTTTCCATCCGCATAACCCGATTCTTACCAGTTCACCAAAACTTTGTTTTCAGTAAAAAAAGATTAATTTCGCGTAGCGGTCATTGGAATTACAAAACTTTTCTAAATTTGACACTCTTTGCAAATACCCGGCCTTCGGCCGGAGCTTGAGATTTTCTCCTCTGGGTGTGTCCCACATCGGCTAACGTGAACCAAGGTTTTTTTAAAATTGACACGTCTTGTAAATAGCCATTATATATGGTCCGAAAACCTATTAAACGAGAAACAACAGGTCTTCTCATAAAATACCTCTAATTCTTATCAATAGAATAGGTCTTCTCATGAAATATTAGGCTAGAACTGTTTTCCGTTCTCCTTTAACTTTCGCATCCTTCGCACACAATTTTATGTCATTTTTAAATTTCTCTCCAAAATAAATTTGATAAAAACCCTCCAAATAATGTCCCAAATGACATTAACTAATTACAGGATATGAGATAATTTGTTGCAATATTTTCGCATAATGAATATGTATCAAAGGACCACCACGTTGCACCCCTGCCACAGCTCCCAAGTGTCATCGGTTGACATTTTAATGAGAATGTTGTGAAATGTTGAGGCCAACCACAGTGGAAAAACAAACACAAAATAATTACAACAGCCAACAACAGCAACAACAAATTTTGCAAATAATTAAAATTGAATTTTCCCAACCAAGTTGCCGTTGGTGATGGTGGTGTTGCCAACCTCTTCAACTACTACTACTCGTATTAATTAACATCATCATCAGCAGCGTCAAGAACAGCTGCGGCGGCAGCGATGTGACAAGAATGCAACTTGTTATGGTTTGGCTTAATGTGAAGTTGCAACACATTTTTTTGAGAGTGTGTGCGTTAGTGTGGAAATTAAACTTGAATTGCTGGGTGGTAGTGGGAAGGGTGTCATAACTTACAGAAATGGAAAATAGACCGTCTGGCAGAGTCTACGCTTCTGTGTGGCAAGCGGCCAGAGATGAC